GTTGGTCAGCTGGTATTTTGGCATTAGCATGGATGTCTGGATGGAGACCAAGGTAGACTGGAAAGCTGCCAGATGGAGACACTGCTTTTACAGTGTTAATCATTGACATTCATACCTGCAACTGTACTGTTCTGGTTCATTCTCAACACTCACCAACTTTGTTTCCAGCCACAACAGGCAACTGTACAAACCTACTGCTGGCTACTCAGGCGTCAAGGAAGTGTGCCAGGCTTTGAAGCCAGTTTCAATAATGGCCAAACAGTGGCATTACAATTCTGGGCCATCATGTGATGCCACTGGGCCCTAAAAGACTTTTTTTTCCATGGAGTTACATTTTAAAAGAGACCTCGGTAAATCAATGGATACATATTTTTGAGCGTCACAACCCAAAATGGCTTGTTTCATTTTTAGGATTCAGTCTGATAGCATTTCGAAAGCCTAGAAGAGCCACACCATTAAATTATGTTATCCCCATTCGAGTTAGCAGAGCGCTAAACTGGAATTTAGCCACTCAGCCCTCAAGAGTCTGCAGTGTGCTCAGCAATAAAGATGTTATAGCAGGGAAGCACCACTGAGCAACGTTCATAGGAATGAATGGGGCCCTGCCTCAAACGTTGTGTTCGATTTTCTTTATACATCGTAACACTAGACAGACAAAGTTAATGACTACCTAGTGAGTTAAAATAGTGGAGAAGTTTGCTGCCAAAGGGTAAGATATTAATCTCAAAGAGTTTGTGAACTAAACCAATGCTGAAAGGAGAGTGACTGTTGCATTTACATTTGTCAGATGTTCAGAAGCACGACCAAATGAATGCTAATACTGCCCTGCTAGATGTGTAATGTGGCAGCTGTTAGGTACTGTTCCCATGGCAGCTTCCCAGGGTGATAATATGTGGTTACAGGTTATTAATAAACTTACTTTCATATACAGCTGCTCCTCTCCTAAATGCGCTATCAGTACATCATGTTGTAATGAGACAGTTTCTCAGAAGAGAAGAGTTTTTTCAGTTCCTGGGTGAGTGTCTAATTGCTATGGCCTGTCAGTGTTTTTTTTTATTCTGTTCTTCTGAGTGTAGAGCTGTTTACCTTGAGCCCCATTGCCGTGATGTAAAATCTTTAACTTTTCAAGCTGATTAGATTTTAATTACATTTTTTCCACCCTAAGATCCAGAAGGACTGCTGAAACTGCTGCTCGTGGTCAACAGTTCTCCCCTGTGCTCCCTGTTTGAAGGACAGTGGATGTAATAACACCTCTCAATGCTTAATTTTTATTCACTGTGGGAGGCTCTGAGCTGTATGTCATTAACCTGACTTGACAGTTGCGTAAGCCGAGCAAGCTGTTAAATCGTGTGTGTGTTTGTGTGTGTGAGCATAATTGTGTAATGATTTGGCCATGATTGTAGATCCTGATTGTTCAGAGGCTTTATTAACATATCTTTGGATCCTTCAGAGTGATTGACCTTTGAGTAGGGGACGTGATCGGCCCAGCGATTGAGATTTGAGTAATAACGCTGACACATGTTGCATTCATGAATGGATTAAGATCATTTTTCAGTAGTGTTGGCATTCATATGGAGAGTTCTCTGCCTTCTTGGCTGAAGAAGCCAAGCATAATGTCAGAAGCCTGCGCCAGCATCAGTCTGGACCATCAGTGAACCACATTACCAAACATTTGTTTAGCATAAACTGCATTGTAGCATAACATTGTTGACAGGGGACACAACCATGAAGTATGCAGGTATTGTTATGAAATAAAGAAAGTCCTGAAAAGGAAATAATCAAGGTGCCAAAAATGATGAAAGCCTTTTTGATGGCTCCAACACTCCTGAAAGCCAAAAAATACATGCTATGATTATCTGAAAGTAAAGGAGAATGGTCCCTTAGAGGAAAGATGTTTTTCCTCTGAGTGGTGGGTGCAGGCGGAGATATTCAGCACTACTGTTTGATAAACACTGTTAGTGTTTTACACCTTTTCTCACCTGCACAGATGAATAAATGACAGTTCTTGTTTGCTTCTGTTGGAATCTTTCATTTCTCACATTTATTTGGGTATGAAAATTCTTGGTTGGTTTTATGTTGGACCTTTCACTACTCAAGGCCTATCATTTCTCACTTCTTCCACATGGAGAGAGCTGAGCCCTCATTACTTTGCCTCTATTCCCTTGAGGGGAAGGGGGAGTTCATGTTGGTGCTTTTCAGTAACTTGGCAGTACACCTGTTGGCTAGAGTCAGTTTGGTGTCAGTTTTTGGAGTTATTGCAGCTGCACTTTAGTTTGACATTTACTGCTGTGAAAAGCATGTACATTGTGAAAGAGATGCTGTGACACAGGAAGCAATGACACTGTTTTATGTGGCCCTCACCTTTAGTGCTGCACAATTGCAGAGGATATTGCGATGGATGTTTTTAATCATTTTAATCATCGCAGCTGCATTTTGTATGACAGTGACGCACTTCTATTCTTTCATTTTTGCCCATGACCAGCACACTAGATATTAGTGAGCATGAGACTAATTTGCAGCACCCCGTGGCAAAACAATAATTTGTTCTTCAAAAGGTGAATCATCAGCTGTGGAGAACTGTGTCAAATTCAAGGATGATGACACTAATTAAGTAGCTACTAATCACCGGCAGACATGGTTTTGTTTTTTTTTTCCAGCAGTGGTAGCACCACAGGCCATCAGAGGAATAAACTAAATATACCATCCGTGGTGCTTCTGCCAGTTGTGTTTGATTTGCTTGGCCTGATGTGAAAGGTTTTAACAAAAATACACTGCCAACCAAGAAACTGGACCAAGACAGCCCAAAAAGGAGGGTCTGTTGTTAGACAAGTTAGCTGTTTGTGGGGTGAGCAAACAGAGCAGACTAACCCTTATAGCATCAAGAGCTACCATTAAATCCATCTGCTGATTATGAACTACTCATGAGGCGATTGTGATAAGCAGTCTATAGAGGCGACGTATAGCCTATACTCATGCAAGATAAAGGTAACCATGGTAACACATCAGACGATTTTTCCTGTTATATCAGAAAGTGAAGAGGGGTTGAAGCATTGTCCTTGTGTCTTGTTTCATATGTAAGTGAAAGGAAGTGATCCCACAGTAACATCATGCTACAGAACACATTTTTGCTCTGTTTCCAAATGGATTTTATCCAAAGCGCTTCACTTCAGCATGTTGACAAGAGGAGCCAGGGATCACTGACAACGTTGTTTGACAGGATTCCCTTGGGACTTGGTGGTTCAGTGGGGGATGGTGCCGTGCATCCTGCATCACACAGGGTTGTGTGTCTGATACACGTTCTTGTCGGCCTCACATTTTGTTGTCTTGTCACTTTTTGGATAAGAGTGCAAAACTAGTAATGCAATGTTTGCTTTAACTCTAACATTTAATCCATAGAAGATCTCACACTTAACTGTAACTTCTAGCAGAAATGATTTTTTATTTTTTGTGATCAGTGTACAAAGAAGCACATGGATTTTTGCTCTTTGTTACTGCTGATACGGCTACAACCATGACCACACTTCCCTGCAGATTTTCAGTTGACTTCCCTGACTGCTGATACAATCTCAAATTGACCATGAAGGCCAAAACACACCGGCGGCGTACGACACGCATCAAAACAGCCGCCCCCATTATTTTCTATTCACAAACCCACACCGGCGGCGGCTCGACGCGTGTCGACGTGCCGCACTGTGGCACTTTACACTATTGTCCTATTTTTCCAGCGTTGCCGCCCTTGAAAAAGCGCATTTTGTACTTCCTAGCCTAGCGGACTGGCGTGTGCAATAGAAATCCGGTTGACGCCCCGCAGCGCGACGCTTTTTGTGTGTGTTGAGGGCGGCACTCGACTCGCGTCAATGGCGCCACCGTCATATGACGCCGCCGGTGTGTTTTGGCCTTAATAATGTTGCACTGATTCCTATGTCATTTCTTGTATTAATAGATGACCCAAATGGACTTTCGAAGCAGAGTATCATTGGTGTGAGACCAAACTATGGAAATTATAGTAAAACATGATAAGTATGGGTGGCACGGTGGTGTGGTGGTTAGCACTGTTGCCTCACAGCAAGAGGGTTCCTGGTTCAATCCCGTATGTGGGAGCCATTCTGTGCGGAGTTTGCATGTTCTCCCCGTGCCAGCATGGATTTTCTCCGGGTACTCCGGCTTCCTCCCACAGTCCAAAGACATGCAGATTGGGGATAGGTTAATTGGTGACTCTAAATTGTACGTAGGTGTCAGCCCTGTGATAGTCTGGCGACCTGTCCAGGGTGTATCCTGCCTCTCGCCCAATATCAGCTGAGATAGGCTCCAGCCCCCCTGCAACCCTCAAGAGGATAAGCAGTTAGAAAATGGATGGATGGATGATTAGTATGTTCTGTATGTCTTCATACTTGTATCGTGTATCATTCAGTCTAGTTTGCCTGATTTCCCAAGCTCTAGAAATACAGGTATCCTACACCTCACAGTCCAACCTCTCAGTTTCCTCCAGCCCAAATAATTTTGGATTTTTGTTCTGCAGTCTTACAAAAGTACACACAGTTTATCATATGAACGTGCACTCAGAGTATGGGGCTGCAGAGATGGTCATGGAGCCTGCCCAAACGTGCACCGCTGCGTCCTGCAAAACCACTCGCATGCAGGTGAAATAGCAGTCCTACTTCCTGTGCCAAGCCGGCCACGTTTCTACCTTCTGATATTCACTTATGTGTTTGTGTCTTGGTGACATCAGAGAGCGTAAATAACCACCTAATTTTGGCTGGAAGTGGACTTAAACCTTCCTTTTCAAGTGACCCTGGTCCACTTTGGTCCACACCAAGGTTCCACTGACAGCTTTCCCACCAGCCCAATCTGGCACACGCACCATGTGTGATGCTACAGTTTCACACACTGACTCAAGATGCAGCCTATCTTGCTTAGATAAGGAGGAGTACACAATCTTCCCATAATGTGCTGTTTACAGTCTTCTCCTGGTGTGAACTCATCCTCTGTTTTTCTTACAGTCTCTGTCAGCAGCATGGGCCAGCATTTCGGAAAGAGGGAGTTACCCACAGACAGTAAGGTAAGAGCCCTCACTGCAGGTGCTTTAATGCCTTGTTTTGTGCATGCAGAATCACAATATCTTGAAACGTGTGTGTGTGAGCGTTTTGTCTATTCTGAGAATCTGAGAATGAAGCATGTGTTTGATTCTGAGAGTTTTCTTTAACCTTATCAGTGTGACGGCTGGCCTTTATCAGCAGGACTTTGGACTCTGATGTAGACCAGCCTTCAGGCTCCCTCACTCACACTGATTTATTACCTTCAGCTTTCAGTCAGACTGTGAACCACTTCAAAGTCAGGGCTTATATAATATGACACAAAGGTTAAAAATACTAAATTCCTTGCAGGTAGTGTATTTGTCTCCAAGGTCTAGACACAGAATGGGTTTTTATGTTTACAAGTGATTTGATATATTTCTGAGCCGCCTACGTGTTCGTGGTTACAACTTACTCTGTCACCTCCAGCGCTTGGAACATGAAGGCAGGTTTTGCGGTGATCGCACTGCCACAGGTGGCACTTCATACTCATCTGTCAAATGTATTGAGAAGCAGCGATCGATGAGTAATGCACTGTCTCATTGCTTTATGTGGAGATTTTTGTTGTGGAGAGTAAAGGAGGGATGAAGTGGAGATGAGTTTGCAAATATTGCCTGGATTTTTTTCCATATCCATTTATATCTATGCATTATTTGGACTTAAAGGCCACTGTGCTGGAGTAAGTGAAATTAAAAAACCTACCTCCCTCCATTTCTGAGATCATTTAAAGATGTTAAGACCCACTTATGCACTTAAATTAAGCGATTTTCTTTTGCACACTATGGTAATGTGATTAAAAAAAATCCCTTGCACTCACACATGTTGGATAGTCTTTTTTTAAGTACTTGTGCATACATGGAATTACTGGAAATTTTTCAAATGTCTTGCACACTGCATTTTAAACAATCACCTCTCTGTTACCATCAGAGTCCCACTTGTAATTGAGCTGTGTTGCCATGACAATATCGGAAACATGATGGGTCTCCATGGCTCTTGTATGTCGCCCTATAAAAACCCCTCGAAAACCACAAGCCTCGCAGCTACAATGCTCTGTGAGAGAACCCATTTGAACTGGAGGATGTAAATAGATGATTTTGTGCATCAAGGCTGACACTAAAACCTCTCTGGGTACACATCTCATTTAACCATTAGCTTTGGCCTGGTGATCATCAGCACTCAGATGTCTGACATTGATAATTTACCAGACATACAGCACCGAAGCATTATTCCCACGGCACCGACAAGTTCTCACCCTGGAAGTCCATCTAGAAATAATGTTTTTCCACCTGAACAAAAGTGATACTGCAGGTGCGAAATGTTTTAGATGTTTCAGTATACATGCACCTTGTCTTGCTGTTGAGTCCGGTGCTATGCTTAAAACAGTAAACTGGATTTAAGTCTCAGAATGAAAGTGTGGTTTTGTTGGTTGATGGATTGTTTTTGCTGCTGTTGTAGGAGCAGTTTTTGCACTTTAAAGCATCGGGATCGATCAGTGAGTTTGCACTCTAAAGTTAAGAAAAATAAAGCCTACAGATAATGGATTTTTTCAACCCATATTGATAGCGATAATTACCCACTTCTCATGGCCAATCACCGATATGATAACCACGCACCTTCTTGTATTTTAAAAACAAGTATATAACCTGTAGTTTATGTACATCTGAGGGTAAGAAAGGCTAAGATGCAGTGAGAAAATATGGCTGATTTAATATTCCATAGCCCCGACCAAACCAAATCAAATTGACATCACTGTTGCTAACACAACAAAAACAAAAAACAGCTCTGACTCTTCCTACCTGCCGACATGAGGCTGTGGAAACGAGGGAGATTTTCTGGGGATTGTGAAATGGCCAACCCTCAACACCCCTGTCCCCATATAACCCTACACTACAGGTGAACATCATAAATACAAGGATGTGAAAGTAAAATGACTTTTATTCAGTATTAAATTTATAGTTAATGGTAAGAGAGAGGGAGATAATGAAGCCCAGTGTTACTGTGTAATTCTGTGGTGTATCAGCTGTGTATAAACTGCACTGCAGAGCTGTCCATCAGCGCTGTATCTAACCTGGTAAACAGCTACAGAAACTTGATCTGGTGGGGTATTGGAGGTTCAGAGATCAGACCCTTGGCACCATTGTGTTGTCTTCCTCTGAAGAAAGACGTTCACACCGTGACGTGTTTTGCCCTCTAGACAGCATGCTGCAATTGTTGTTCTTCTTCCTCAGCTCGCAAAACCAATGTTAAATCGTTATCATTTTAATTAGGGAAATGATGCAGTATTACAAAAATGTCCCAATATCGGCCCGATATATATTTTGAGCGTCCCTATTTACGTTAATGCTATAGTATAAACAGGAAGTATGATCAGATATGACATAAGCTTGAAGGTCCAGTGGTAAATTAAATGCAATTTTCTTATTTTTCTTTTGTAACAAACAAAATGGTTAAGCACCTCACAATAGGAATTTTTAATAGGCCGCACAGCAAGGTGTTCTGCTGTGCCCCAGGGTTAGCACTTGACAGAAAATGCCTCTAATGGTGCTATAATTAAATAGAGCAAATATGTTTTGAGAGATTTTTTTTTGACTCATCTTTCTGCATTGTGTGAGCGCCGAAATTACAAGCCAGACACTGTTCCTGTACGGCAAAGTGTGGAGGAGGATCCGGCTTAAACTGGGACAGTAATGTAATTTAATGACATTGTGTAATTAACCCCCGCTTTGCTTAAGTCCTTTTTGTCACCGCTTTTCAAAATTACAGCGGATATAATGAGTTGGGGCCATTATGGCTGAGGCTGCGATCAGATTTGAAGAGGTTGCTAGCTTGTTGTGAGCAGCCCTAATGTCAGGCTGTGAGCAAGGAGGTGTCAGAAAAACAGCATCTGGGGCTGCGGGCAGCAGTGTAAAACTTGCAGTCTCTGCCTGCGTGGTCTGGCTCGCGGCCGACTACCTGTAATGGGTGGAGTGATCATGTTGGCCTGCTGGGGAAGAGGGGAGCCCAAACCAGTGGGAAAGCTGATGGCTCAGCCCACAAATGATTTCTTTCCTTTGCTTGCAAAGCACACTCCAGAGAGAGAAGAGCAGGAGCAAGAGAGGTGGATTAATTTGTCAAGTGTGAAGTTGCCCAGAGCAGTGTTAGGGCAGCATCGCACTAAAGCCACATTGTTTACTTAGCTTTATAATTGCATTGTGTATGTCTCAGTCTCCATCATTTGTTTCACCCCTTTCTGTTGGCTTGATTATCATGACATCAAAGTCAATTTAAAGGTCTGGCAGAACAGCCAGTTGTCATAGTGACAGTTGAGCAGGAACAGAGTGTGACAGAGTATGGCAGGTTGTGTTTAGAGGCTATTGTCTGAGTCGTGATCCCTCTCCCAGTCCATTATCATTTCAGGAAATGTACCCATACCTGCTTTGTCACATCTCAATAGCAGGTCCAACAGAAATGTCTCTGTTGACGCCGCTGATGTTTTAGAGCCTTAAATCACACATGGAATGACTGGCCTTGCATCTCAGTGTTGTGTTCTCCTAACGCGCTGGATTGTGTGTCCTCACCACTTAATTACTGCCACACAGAGGGTAGTACACTGAGATCTTGCTACTTTTAGTCATTACTGCATGCAAAGCTGACAGTGTCTTCAAAAATAGACAGCCACTCAGTTATTTTGTATTTACAAATTCAGGGATTTCAAATTGCATTTTGTGTGCAAGAATGCAGTTAGTTGTACAACAACTGCTTTAAAAGAAATCCACTTGTAATCAAACAACAGATTGGCCAACCAGAGACGATGTTGCACATCATGCTGAGATATTTCCTGCCCAGCTACAGTGAGAGGAATCAATTTTTCCACTCTCTCAGACACCAGCAGTAAACATCAGGATGTGGTGTCAAGACCTCTGAGTCGTAGCACCCTTTTTTTCCCTCCAGTGATACAGTACCATTTCTACTGATGCTGAACACTCAGAGAGAAATCCATGGCAGCAAAGACAAAAGTAGCAATTTCCTCAACTGACAGTGACCAGACCAAGACCAGAATGCTATGCTGCCTGTGAACTTTTCTCAACAAAAACAACATGATAAAGTCACTCTCTCTGGCTCCTGCTATATGTTTGCTATTGGTGTAACTACTACCAATGCTCTTTCTAACTACAAGCATCACCTACAGTTCATGCTCTCAGGTTGTGCTGTCATTTTGGGTGATAAATGAAACCCCTAACAGAAGAAGAATAAGGTAGTAAGCCATTCATTTTGCAAAACAGTAGAGCTGCATGTAGCGTATTGCTTTACTCAGGGGCTCCTTTCTATCTCTTCCTCTCTATTTATCATGACACTTGTGCTTCAGGAGTGTGAGCTCCCCATCAGGGACGCTGAGAATCTGCATGTCTTGCTTAACGGGTCGAGTCGTTTTGGTTTCACTAAAAGTTTGTTGGGACTGTTTAACAGCTCGATGTTGCGTGTTAGCCACTACTGCTGTGTTAGCTCATGCTAACTGGGCAGCTATTGAACCGAGTTTGTTTGTGTAATGGCAGCAACAGAAAGTTTGCTGATAGTTTCCAACAGTGAAGAGGATTAACGGTAGCATACAACGAGTGAGGCGATTATCCTCCATATAGGTGCTCACCTCTGTAAAACTTTTACTCAATTAAACGCCTGGTTTCTTTTACTGGCCTGGTGTGGCTGCACATTTGACAAATAACGCCTGTCTTAATTAGACACCGGGTTGCCAAGCAGTTCTTTTTTTTTTTTGTGGTAGAAGTTCTTTGGATGTATAAAATCAGGTTGTTGGCTACCTCAAATTATATATCGATCCCTCTATCACAAAAGGGTTTTTCATAAAGTTGTGAGTATCGTTTTAACAGGATGAAGTGCAGTTGTATAGGTATACTGGGTGCCGTAATCCTCGTATGCTGTAACTCTCTCTCTGATGTGCTGTCTGTCGGAGCTAGATCAAATGAATGATTCTTAATCATAATCTGAAGCCTTA